TGTAACGCGAGTAGTCGTCGACAACCAGCAAAAAGTACCGCTCACCGCCCTGGCCACGAACGCGGGCTGGGCCCCACACGTCCAGGTGGAGGGTCTGCAGAGGAGCCTCTGTCGGGGGGAACGAGGAGGAGTGAGGAGCGGCGCGCTGCCGCCCCTCGACGCAAGGAAGGCAAGGCGGCGCAGGCGAGGCAGGGAGGGGAGGGAGGGACCTGGGAAGACCAGACACAAGGCGGCGACGGTGCATGCCACGGAGGCGTGGCAAAGAGGGGTGACCCAGGCGGTGGTGCCAGAGAAGAGTCTGGTGCGACAGGGAACGACACTCACAGGCGTGGGCCACCAGACCTGACGCAGACACCTGACCGACAGCAGCGACCTGAGGAGACGCAGTGGTCAGTGTGTAGAGACTCGACCCCGGCCGACGGGTAAACGTAGCCAGGTGACGGCCGGTCCTGGAGCACGTGCAGATCGCCACACGCTGTCCTCCAGGGGTAAAGGTGTCAACCCACTGATCCTGGATGACAGCGTTGCTCACCAGGTTCGTCGAGAACGAGGGGAGGTGGAAACCAGACAACGAGCCAGACGGAACCGCCGGACAAGGGAGCACAGTGGTGGACTGGGCAAGGACTGGGCCCCCAGAGGGGTCAGCCAAGGAGACTGGGACCGGTGCAGGAAGCGGTGTGAGCTCAGTACTGTCACGAAAGAAACAGCGGGAAGCACCTGAGTCAAGGGTGAAGGTGTGACAGGCCTCAGCCGGTGCGGTACCTGAGAGAGCAGTCTCTGTGGGTGCTGTACCTGAGAGAGCAGACTCGCAAACAGCCGGGACAGCACTGGAGGGAGCAAGTACAGGGGGCACCATACCAGAGAGAGCAGACTCACTAGTACCCAGGGCAGCGGGCTCTATACCTGGGTCAGGCGGCACACACAAGTAACAGTCTCCCTCGGCACTAACAGTCAATGCATACATGGCAGCAATAATAGCATCATAGTCAAGAGCAAAGATATCAACACCAGCCCTCATGAGCTCAGCCCAGCGGGGGCGCTCAACATCCTCGCCCATCTCCTCACGCCAAGCGTCGTCAAGGCGGGAGAAGCAGCGGTACGGGGTGTGGAACCTCCCACACGTCTGTCCCTTGCGGTCACCTGTGCGAATGACATAGGAACAGCGGCCATTGCCCCCCGACGTCCCACGCTGAGCAAGCCACTCACGAAGCTGCTGGGTCGTCTGGGGACGCTGCTGCTGCTGGGAGCTCTGGCCCGAGCCAGTGCCTCCACTCCGACCTCCGCCACCACCACTACCTCCGCTCCGACCGCCACCGCCGCCGCCGCCACCGCCGCCGCCGCCGCCACCACCGCCACCGCTCCCTCCGCCGCCCCCGCCTCCGCTGCCGACCCCACTCCCACCAGCACTCCCGCCACCGCTCCCTCCAGCACCGCCTCCCCCCCCACCTCCCCCACCTCCTCCCCCCCCAGCGCCACCCCCGCCACCCTTGCCCCCCTTGCCCTTGCCGGTGCGGCGCCTCCCACCAGGAGCAGAAGCAGCGCCAGCAGACTCAGCACCAAGGAAGTCAACAGCAGCAGCAGTAGCGTAGGAGGGAGCGAGGGGAGAGGGAGAACACCCCTCAAAGATGGGGGTGCGAGGAGCGCCACGAGCAGCACCGACAGCTACAATGCTCTTTTCGGCCGCTAGCAGCTGCTCCTCTAGGAGGGCGACTGTGAGCTCAGTGGGACAGCGAGCAAGGAAGTGGTCTCGAACTGAGCTGAGGGTGTCAGGGAGACGGGTGACTATGAAGTGGAGTGTCCAGTACAGGGGAGGGGGATTCTTAGCGCAGAACTCGGTGGGAAGGGCGGCACGCAGGCGAGCATCACTAGTGCGAAGGTGGGTGATAAGATCGGCGACTGTAGCAAAGGTGGACAGCTCAGGGAACAGGTACGGCAGCATGAGGCGGCTAAGCTCGGCTGTGGCAGGCGAGGAGTAGCGAGCAACGACAGCATCGTACAGGGCCTTAGCGGATTTGCAGTCGCCAAAATGCTCGAGCTCAGCTAGCGGGAGGTGACTGCGAATGGCTAGGCGAGCAGCTGCGTCACGAGTCTGCCAGTGGGAACGAACACTAAGCTCAGCTGTGGCAGGGGGGGCAGGTGCAGCACCAGACGCGTAATCATAGAGCGACACATGCTCCTTGCTATCGCTCAGAAGGAACAGCTGCAGGTCATCCAGCCAAGTGGCGAACTTCACAGGGCGGCCCTCAGCATCGAACGACAGCACGCGGATGGAAGCCATAGCGACAGTGCGACTGAGTAGAGGAAGCTGCCACAGCGCTGCAGGTAGGTAGCTCGGCGGGAAGCGCGGCGGGCGGGCGACACGGCGAGCGGGCAGTGCAGGGGCGGGCTACGAAGCGGGCAGCGCGGTGGGCAGGCGGCGCTGCAGGCGGGAAGTGCGGCGGGCGGGCTGCGAAGCGGGCAGCGGGGCGGGCGGGCGACGCGGCGAGCGGGCAGCGCGGCGGGCGGGCTGCGAAGCGGGCAGCGGGCGGGCGGGCGACGCTGCAAGCGGGCAGCGGGCGGGCGACGCTGCAAGCGGGCAGCGAGGCGGGCGGGCGACGCTGCGAGCGGGCAGCGGGCGGGCGGGCGACGCTGCGAGCGGGCAGCGCGGCGGGCGGGCGACGCTGCGAAGCGGGCAGCGAGCGGGCGGGCGGGCTGCGAAGCGGGCAGCGGGCGGGCGGGCGACGCTGCAAGCGGGCAGCGAGGCGGGCGGGCGACGCTGCGAGCGGGCAGCGCGGCGGGCGGGCGACGCTGCGAAGCGGGCAGCGGGCGGGCGGGCGACGCTGCGAGCAGGCAGCGCGGCGGGCGGGCTGCGAAACGGGCAGCGCGGTAGGCGGGCGACGCTGCGAGCGGGCTGCGAGGCGGGCGGGCCGCGAAGCGGGCAGCGAGCGGGCGGGCGGGCTGCGAAGCGGGCAGCGGGCGGGCGGGCGACGCTGCGAGCGGGCAGCGGGCGGGCGGGCGACGCTGCGAGCGGGCGGCTCGGCGGGCGGGCGACGCTGCGAGGGGCGCGCGAGGGCGCTAACGAGAGGCGCACGAGGGCGCTAGCGAGGGCGCGCGAGGGCGCTAACGAGGGGCGCGCGAGGGCGCTAACGAGAGGCGCGCGAGGGCGCTAACGAGGGCGCGCGAGGGCGCTAACGAGGGCGCGCGAGGGCGCTAACGAGGACGCACGAGGGCGCTAACGAGGGCGCACGAGGGCGCTACGAGGCTAGGGCACGGGGTAGCGTGGTAACCGCATGCGAGCGGTGGTGGGCCCTAAAAAAAAACGGTCGGTAGGTCCTAGGGACCTCCTGCTCTGATACCATGTTAACAGAACTAGGCAAGAATGAATGCATTGAATGAAACAGTTGGGTACAAGTAGCAAACCCTAGTTGGGGTTGTACCCCATATTGGCTACCCCACTACAGCCTACCAATATATAACACATTACAATTTAACAGGAACAACAAAAAGTGAAAATATGCATACGACGTAGAGACGAAAGGCAGAAACCATGAAAAACAAAAGAAACAAAGATATGACCTAAAAAATGTGAGGAAAAAAGGCGAAGTCTTTACAATGGGCCTCTACCCTTAGCTTAAACAAGCCGCATCCTTTAGAAACAGTTAAGACACGAGATTAGGAGATGTTAGTCAATGAAGAACCGGAAAACGGATGCAGGCTTATGGAAAACCTGCAGCTAAATTTTTTGCAGCAAGTTTACAACCTAAGCCTTAAACGACTTTCATCCTTTAGAAGCTACCAACACGAGCAATACTAACATGTCTTAGGCCAACATTCGTCTAGCTCTTAATCGTCTAACTTAATCTACTTGATGGGTTAAGGTAGCTCTCACCTTAGTAGGATAGGAACTCGTTCTGGTAGGTAGAGTCAAACATGAGCGAAGCTCAGCCAGCGAGGGAGAAGAAAAGGGAATAACAAACCCTAAAAAGGTGTCGGATTCGTCGCAAAGCTAATCTACCTACAAAACACTTCGAGTTGCTTAACATAACAGTGTTGGCGCAATTAGTTGAACTTCGATGTGCTATCGAAAAGTCTCCAGTTCAATTCCTGCAGACGACACATTTCGAAACCTGACAATGACACGCACAGTTTTTATTTTTTTTTTCACGACGCTACAGAATATCATAGGCTTTAGCGCAGACGGTAAAGTTGAAAAACTATTCAAAAGGTTTCAGGTTCTATTCCTGTTGTCAACTACCACGGAAGGAGACTTTTGCGCGAAATTGCAGACGTAAAATACACTTGTTTGTCGATATCGTCACGCAAACAATCCAAACGCCTTCTGACGTCAAAGTATAAACGCCTTCTGACGTTAAAGTATAAAAACATTTTGATTTTAAAATCAAATAATATGAACATAACAAGAATAACCAAACACAAATGAGTTCTCAAGAAGCACATATTTTATACATTGTGAAACAACCAAATCTGTACTCTAAACGACCACAGCGATTCAGTTATATAATCATATATTATATGTCATGTGTTTCTATAAATGGAAGTGTAATTCATTAAAAAATAAAAAACATGTTACAGCCTGTTGCTTCGCAACCCTAAGACGATTTAGTCGCCTCTTGTTTTACTTTGTATTGTACTTAGGGTACATTCCGCTGTGGACAGCGTCCCAATCGATGTGTCCCAATCGATTACCTCACTGCATCTTATTACACCGAATTACACCCTAGTTTCAAAATTTTCGCTTCTCTGGTTTAGTTCGGTTCGGAGCGGTACACCCGATTGGGACATGTACGATTGGGACATGTCCACAGCGGAATGTACCCTTAAGCCATAAAGAAGAACTATATGACATATTTATGCAAAAGGACCAAATGCAAAATTACTTCGATGGAATGTATGCTCTTCCACTATTACCAAAGTCAAATTTTGATGCCTGCTACTTTCTCTTCAACCGAAGATAAGCATATGCGCAGGATGCCAAGGCTAAAGCTACCTGCTCATCTTATCTAAATTGCTTCAATGTAAGCATCAGCACAAGATGCCAAGCTCTGCACCTCTCGCATGCGAAAAATGTCTTTGGAATAGGATGAGTAAGGAGTCCCGATGAAATGCTTCGCCCTTGCGCAGATGTGCTTCTCTGCAAGCGCTCTCGCGATGCCATTGGTGTTCGTCCCACCTTCCATATCCCTCTCGGCTTCGTGGAATGTCTGCACAGATGCCGGCAAGGGGGAGAAAGGGGGAGAAGAGGAGGGAGTGGGGGAGAAGCGGGGAGAAGGGCAGGGAGCTTGCTTCTCTGTAAGTGCTCTCGCGATGCCATTGGTGTTCGTCCCACCCTCCATATCCCTCTCGGCTTCGTGGAATGTCTGCACAGATGCCGGCAAGGGAGGAAAAAGGAGAAGGGGAGGGAGTTGAAATTGCAAAGGGCTGTGCTTCGCAAAAAAAAAAAAAAAAAAAAGGAGCAAATTATAATCATGAGCATAACTTGAGCATGAGCTCTTAAGACACAAACTCTCTGACACCATCAAGGGGGCGTCAAGACAAACAGCAGCATGTGTGTTCTTACCTTGACCCACGGGAAGCGCTGGTATTCATCGGAAGTGGCGCCAAAGGCCGGCAGGCGCACCACAATGAGCGGACTGCCAGGCGCCATACCTGCGGTACATGGGACCATTGTGGTACCGGTGGGGTGGAAGGGAAGGGGGATTGAGTCACAAGCCCTTTTTGAAAGCGAGTCCGACTTAAAAGGAGCCACAATGACAGGACTGCCAGGCGCCATGCCTGAGGTACATGGGACCATACCATGGTGGTACGGGTGGGGTGGAAGGGAAGGGGAATCGAGTCCCAAGCCCTTTTTGAAAGGTTTGAGTCGACTCGAAAGGCACCACAATGAGATGACTGCCAGGCGCCATGCCTGCAGTACATGGGACCATGGTGGTACCGGTGGAGTGGGGGGAGAAGTGGGGAGTGATTGAGTCACAAGCCTTTTTAAAAGCTTTGAGCCGACTGAAAAGGCACCACAATGAGGTAACTGCAGTACATGGGACCATGGTGGAAGGAGGCGACTCACCCACAAGAAGCCTCTACAGCAGCTGCACCTCGCACTGGCTGGCATCGGTGGCTCTGCAAACTTAGAAAAGATAGGAAAGTGCTGCCACAACAACAGCAACGACAACACCAACACCAAGCAGATCACCCACAAGAAGCCTCTCCAGCAGCTGCACCTCGTACTGGCTGGAAGACAGAAGCCCCTTTGGCAGATGCGATAGAGAGAAGGATGGAGGGGGCGGGGGAATGGGGGAGTGGGTTAGTGGGGGAGTGCGGGCAGCAGACAAAAACTCACCCATGAGCAGCTCCACCTCGTATTGGCTGGCAGACAAGAACTCACCCATGAGCAGCTCCACCTGGTATTGGCTGGCAGACAAAAGCTTTTTAAGCAAGCTCAAAAGAGTGGGAAGGACGGAGAGGGGGGGGGGGGGGGTGCGGGAGAGGGGGAAGCAGGAGGCGACTCACCCATAAGGAGTCGCCTCCTGGCTGGCAAACGGAATGAGTTTATTTTTTCTTTGGCAATAGCAATAGCAGGAGAGGAGGGAGTGGGGAAGCAGGCGACTCACCCATGAGGAGGCGCTCCAGCAGCTCCACCTCGTACTGGCTAGCGTCAGTGGCGAGGTAGACAGCTGTCACATTGCGATTGGCCAGACGCCTCATGATGAACCGGCCCACCGCTACGATGGGCAGGAATGCAGGATGGCTCTTGGTCTGATGCGCGTGATGGTACACCCGAGAGAAGTCGGATCTGATAAAGCAAGGAGAATTGGGGAGAAGAGAAGGTCGAGGAATGTTGAGCGACAGCGGTTAAAGACTGGTACTGTGTTCACTGTAACAATGGACAGGAAGGCGGGATGGTTCTTGGCCTGATGCGCGTGGTGGTACACCCGAGAGAAGTCGGACCTGCAGAGGGCAAGGGGAATGGAAAACAAGGAGGGTGCGTGTGTGCTCTTACAACCCACTGCCACTCTGGGCAGGAGGGAGGGATGGCTCTTGGTCTGATGCGCGTGGTGGTACACCCCAGAGAAGTCAGACCTGCGAAGGGCAAGGGGAATTGGAAAACAAGGAGGTTAGAGTGTCTGCTCTTACAGCCCACTGCCATGATGGGCAGGAAGGTAGGCGGGATGGCTCATGGTCTGATGCGCGTGGGGGTACACCCGGGAGAAATCAGATCTGCAGGGGGCAACACAGGCAGGCGCACACAGGAGTGCGGGGCAAACTTTGGAGAATTCTCAAAAGTGACTCCCAGTCAGTAGAGGGCAAGACGGACAAGTGCGCACAGGAGTGTGGGGTGGGGCGAACAGCACACGGGCTTGACATCCCACCTCCTCAGGTGCACAAGAGGCGGAAGGGCGGGTGTAAGTGGGTGCCAAAGCCCTCCTAGGAATGTGGCAACGAATCCGGTAACAAAGCCCTCCAGAGGAGGGGAAGGCAGCCAGAGGAGCGGAAGGGCGGGTATGGCGGCAACTGACCGACAGCTCACCTCCTCAGGTGCACGGCCGCATAGTCCCCTCCTAGGAATGTGTCAATGAATCCAGTAACAAAGCCCTCCAGAGGAGGCGGGGCAGGCAGCCAGAGGGAGGCGAAAGGGCGGTGGGGGGCGAATGAACAGCACACGGGCTTGACAGCTCACCTCCGCAGGTGCACGGCAGCGTAGTCCCCTCCTAGAAAGGTGTCAATGAATCCAGTGACAAAGCCCTCCACAGGAGGGGGACGCAGCCATAGGTCGGTGCAGGAGAGGCGGAAGGGCGGGTGCGGGGAGAACATGTCAAAGGGCAGACCAGAGAGATATAGCCCGTTGAGATCACCCAGGGAGAGAGAGACACAAGGGAAAGGAATGATGGGAAGGGGAGTGAAGGAGAGGAGTGAGGTGAGGGAATGCACTGCTTACCTCCTTAAATGCACGGCAGCATAGTCCCCTCCTAGAAAGGTGTCAATGAATCCGGTCACAAACCCCTCGACGGGGGGAGGAGGCAGCCATAGGTCGGTGCAGGAGAGGCGGAAGGGTGGGTGCGGGGAGAACATGTCAAAGGGCAGACCGGAGAGTGAGAGCCCGTTGAGATCACCCAGGGCGAGCACTGGCGTGGTGGCATAAGAGTGAGCCGTGGAGGACGAGGAAGAGGAGGGAGAGGCGGCGGTAGCGGATGGGGAGGAAGGAGAGAGCGTGCCGTTGCTGCTGTGGTTGCCGGCCATGCCGGGCCGTTGGAGAAGTGAAGCAGAAGAGGGAAGCGCAGCTGCGGCTGCTGGCTCCTGCGTGCTCTGCTGTGCAGCATCTGTGGTGCCTGTGGCATCGGTGTCTGTCGCATCGGTGGCTGTGGTGCTTGTGGTGTAGTCACGCTGTGTGGCGTCTGTGGCATCAAAGCTTGTGAGCACGTGCAGAAGCTCGTCAAGGTGGTGGGAGTGCAGAGGGGGGTATTCTAGATGTGAGGCAAAGGCGATGTCTGGTAGAGCCTTGAACACCTGGTTGGGGGGGAAGAGAGGGGTTGGGAGGTGAGGGGAGGAACGATATGTGATTGAGATTGGGATGGAAGAGTAGCGATAATGCTCGTGAGGGCATGCAATAGATGGTTGAGGTGGTGCGAGTGCAGAAAGGGGTACTCCAGATGCGAGGCAAAGGTGATGTCTGGTAGAACCTTGAACACCTGGTTGGGGGGAAGAGGAGGGAACGGGGAGCAAAGGGAATGAAGGCAAGAACGCGCAGGAGCTCGTAAAGGTGGTGGGAGTGCAGAGGGGGGTACTCCAGATGCGAGGCGAACGTGATGTCTGGTAGAGCCTTGAACACCTGGTTGGGGGGAAGAGAGAGGGGGAGTGGAGGGAAAAGCAACAAGGAATGGAGCACAGGAAGTGGGACGGGGTAAGAGAAAGGCACACTCGGTGTGTGTGGGTGGAGGGAACACACTCAGTCAGGCTGACACATGCATGCACAGCCGCACTCACCATCTGGGGGTGGCTCAATCATGTGTGAGGCACAACACACGCTATCCGGTCCACTGTGAGGTTGCGCCCCTCCAGTGTCTCGTACTCGTGGCACCATGGTTGGGGCATGTGTATGTGCATGTGCATGTGCATGTACTGTGGTTGATTCACACTCAGACGCACTCACCATCTGTGGGTGGGAGAGGCACGTGTGCGGCATAACACACGCTATCCGGTCCACTGTGAGGTTGCGCCCCTCCAACGCCCCGTGGTTAGTGCATGACACATGTACTGTTGCTAACAGACACACACAGGCTGATACACGCATGCACTCACCATCTGTGGGTGGCTCAGGCAGGTGTGAGGCATAACACACGCTATCCGGTCCACAGTGAGATTGCGTCCCTCCAGTGCTTCATACTCGTGGCAACAGAGGTGATGCATGTGCACGTTCTTGGGCACTCACCATCTGCGGGTGGGAGAGGCACGTGTGCGGCACAACACACGCTATCCGGTCCACAGTCAGGTTGCGCCCCTCCAACGCCTCGTACTCGTCCTGGCTGATCACACTTGGCACCTTCCCATTGGCTGCGTCCCAGCTCCACTCAGTACTATCAGCTGCTGCTGCTGCTGCTGCTGCTACCATCACTACCACTGCCATTGCCAGAGGTACCACCAGCACCAGTCGCAGCAGCAGCAGCGCCACCGGCAGCAGCAGCAGCAGAAACGCCACTAGCCGCAGCAGCGCCAGAAGCAGCAGGAAGGGGCGAGGGGTAGTGGGGCATCAGGCAGGAGCGCATGTGGGGCACGTTCACAATGACCCCCCACTGCCAGCGATACTCCGCCACCACTGAGATGGCATAGCCGTGCCGTGGGATGATGAGCGTGCGGTTCAATAGGGCTGCCAGGGCCAGATACATGTGCATGCAGGCCTCCTGGTGGGGGGAAGACGAGGGGGGAGGGGGGTTGGGTGGGGATGGGTTGGTGAGGCGGGAGGCAGGAGCGCATGTGGGGCACGATCACAATGACGGGCCACTGCCAACGATACTCCGCCACCACTGAGATTGCATAGCCATGCCGTGGGATGATGAGCGTGCGGTTGAGAAGCGCTGCCAGGGCCAGGTACATGTGCATGCAGGCCTCCTGGTGTGAGGTGGGGGGGGGTGGGGAAGGGACGGATGTGTGGGGCACGTTCACAATGACCCCCCACTGCCAGCGATACTCCGCCACCACTGAGATGGCATAGCCGTGCCGTGGGATGATGAGCGTGCGGTTGACGAGGGCTGCCAGGGCCAGGTACATGTGCGTGCATGCTTCCTGGTGGGGGGGAGGGGGCATGGGAGGGAGGGAGCGGGGGAAAAAGTGAAAGCGGAAAAGGGGTTTGGAGGTTAAAACGGGTGCGAGAAAAAGGATGGAGACAAACGAGGGGATGGTGGGGAGGAAAGGTTTAGGAGACGCCTGGTCAGACCGCCTCACCTGGTTGGAAAGGCGCCCATAGGTGCAGAGTGCGAGCAGATACCGCCCCTTGACAGGCCTCCACGCCTCTGTCACCCTCCTCTCGCTCCTTGCAGCCCCCACTGTGCCTTTTGAGGCGCCTCACAAGCGTTACCTGGTTAGAGAGTCGCCCATACGTGCAGAGCGCCAGCAGGTAGCGTCCCTTCACGGGCCTCCATGCCTCTATCACCCTCCTCTCGCCCCTCGCGCCCCCTCCTGTGCCTTTTAAGGCGGCTCAAAGGTCTCACCTGGTTAGAAAGTCACCCATACGTGCAGAGAGCGAGCAGGTAGCGTCCCTTCACGGGCCTCCACGCCTCTATCACCCTCCTCTCGCCCCTCACACCCTCTCCTGTGCCTTTTGAGGAGCGCGTTACAAGCCTTACCTGGTTGGAAAGACGGCCGTAGGTGCAGAGAGCGAGCAGATACCGTCCCTTGACAGGCCTCCACGCCTCTATCACCCTCCTCTCGCCGCTCACAGCCCCCCTTGTGCCTGTCTCTCCGCCCTCCCCACACGTCACGCCTGATGATGCCTCTAGGACCCGTCTCCTCCTCACCCCGCCTCTCCTGCTCCACTTCTGACCTACTCGTTCTAACCTCGCCGCTACGACATCCCCCCTCGCTTCTATTTCTCCCCCTACTGCCGCTATAAAATCCCCCCTCACCTCTACCCCTTTCCCCCTCGCCTCTTCCCCAGTCACCCCTTTGTCTCTCGCTCTCCCCCTTCGATCTACAAGCGACCCCCCTGGTAACCACCAGCTCCAGGTCGATTCGCCTCTGTTCGCCAGTCCAGCCAGGTTTCTTCGCCAAGCACCAGAAACTCCTGCTGCTCCCACACGGCATGAGAGGAGACAGGTGCTCCACACGAGGCCCACCAGCAGAAGCACGCTGACGCGAGAGTATTCGATATAAGGCGGATCTCTATGAGTAGAAAGCCGCAGCCTCTGTGCAGCACTCTCCTGTTGAAGGCTTAACGCAGGCACCATCGCGGCGTTCGGGTTTTGGGCTGCTGCAGCCACTCGAAAGGCAAAAATATCCGATATAAGGAGGCCCAATACCCAAGACTCTCTCTAGCCCACCCACGAGTGAGCAGAGGAATGGTCAGCGGGAGCGAGTGGCTGGTATAGATGGTTGCGTTTTGCTGGAATGGATTATGCTGGCACTGTGCGGGGTTTCGCTGAATAGACTAACACGCTTGCACGAGCCCCGCAACGCATCGAGCAGTAGGAAAGACCAACCTTGGCAGCTTTTAAAAGTGAATCCCGAATCGCGGCGAGTAGTAGTAGCAGCAGCGACGATCATCTGCTCTGCCTGATATTCCAACGACAACGCTCTTTGAGATTGTCCCGTTTCGCTGGGCATGCGCCGCGAAGCGAAACGGGACGAAGGCCGAAAGCCGAAGGGCAGTAAACGAAGTCCGTCGGAAAAGGTGGTTCAGGGTGGTTCGAAAGGCTTCATTCCGGCTGGAATGGCAGGGGAACGGTCCAGAGGGAGGAGCCAGAAAGGTGGCGGGAGGGAAGGAGCAGGCGCGTCACTGCTCATAGCCCTCGTCGATAGGCGGTGGGAAGAGATTAGCAGCATGCAGAGGATGTCAGAAGATGCGTGACAGGATGTCAATGTGATTCGCGTGTCACAACTTGAAGATGCATGCACGCGTGAAGCACGGTCGGTTGCTAATGACGAGAAGAACGGATCGTCGTCGGGCGAATCTCGACCGTCCGTCATTTCCCCAAATGGCTGCCGCAGGACGCTTGAGAGGGACACTACTTGTCAGGACTCGCGCAGCGAGTTTGACAGTCAGAACCTGCTAGGTTGAATCGGTAGTTTGCCGCTGAAGAATGATCGTCTGAACGGTCGGATGGTGGTGATGATAGTTCGCGCGGCGGTGTCAATCTCGATGTTTACATTTGTTACGTTATTGGACGCTCCGTCTCGATACAAGGCTTGAAGTGAATCGAGATAGGAGTTTGCCTTCTACGACCGATATTTTACCGACTAGTAATTCCTCATAATAAATATCACACATGATACAGGGACAGATATTTTGAGAGTGTTAACCTCGCACAGCAATTAAAATTTGAGGTACGCTTTTATGAGCTCACAACATATCGTTAAGTGCCTAAACCCTAAACCCTAGCCGTGGTAAAAAGGCCATTCCAAATGGTTGAAGGGTTGTGTTTCAAAACGCCATTTATAAGGGTTTTATTTTAGGGCAACAAATCGTTGAGGACTCAGAGATCGGTGAGTGAGGTGAGGACAGGGAATCCAGGGTCAGCAGGCAGGGCACCATTGCCAGGGCGAGAGAGCAGCACAGCCTGCAGACCTGTGGGTGGGTGGGTGCGACAGGAGGGGTGTAGGGCAAGAAGGAAGAAAGAGAGAGGTCTGTGAGTGAGGTGAGGACAGAGAATCCAGGGCCAGCAGGCAGGGCACCATTGCCCGGGCGAGAGAGCAGCACAGCCTTCAGACATGTAGGTGGGTGCGGTGGGTGGGTGACAGAGAAAGGTTTGTAAAAAAGGGATTTGTACACGCATGCACAAAATTGACATCCACGTAGGGCACCTGCTCGTTTGAATCACTCGCCTGCTTACATGCATGCTTTCCGCGCCCACTTGCCTATCCCGCCTCACCTGCTTGCTTGGCAGCCTGCGCCTTCTCCAGGATGTCGGTGCAGAAGATGATGTGTGAAGGGGAGACACTGGGAACGAGATACACAGCACAACTGCGTGGCTGGTGCTGTTGACCTGCCTGAACCATGCCCATTCCTGTCCAGCCTGCTTGCTTGGCTGCCTGAGCCTCCTCCAGGATGTCGGCACAGAAGGTGATGTGTGCAGGGCGCCCATTGGTAAGGGCGACATGGCACAACTGCCTGCCTACGATTCACCTGCACGCTCATCCCTGCCCACCAGCTTGCCTATCACACCCTACCTGCTTGCTTGGCGGCCTGAGCCCCTCCAGGATGTCGGTACAGAAGGTGATGTCTGACGGGGAGTCCACACCCAGAGATAGGGCGATCTCGAGTAACTACGTACTTCTCTCTGGTGGCCGATTGGCCAAGTAGCAGAACGTGCTCACATGCACGCCTTTCCATGCCCAATCGCCTATCGCCACTCACCTGCTTGCTTGGCGGCCTGTGCTTCTTCAAGAATGTCGGTGCAGAAGGTGATGTGTGCAGGCGAGTCAGCACCCAGAGATAGCGCGATTTCAGAGTAGCTGCGCGGCTCCCTCTTGTGACTGCTTGGAGGGTTTAGGGTTTGGGAGGGTGGGTGAGAGGGAAGGAGTGTGAATGAAGGAGAGGAATGAGTTCAGAAACAAGTAGAGAAAGCGAGCAACCAGGTCCAAGAGGGACACGGATGATGGAAAAACACCCACAGACATTTGGATCACGTCAGGAAGCAAAAGCAGCGATAAAGAATCTGCATAATAGCATCACCAGGATGTGCGAACCGACCCTGTGGTGGTATCGAAGAAGCCACTAATGAAGCGGCGCAGGTCGCCCACATTGGAGTAGCCAAAGATCAGACGCTGCGCTTCCCTGCTGCCACTCGAATAGATGTAGATCTGCAGGGCAAAAGGGGGGGAAGGGTTGGGAAGGGAGAGGGTGAGGGGGGCGGGGCGAGGAGGGTGAGACGGTGTGCCTCCCTGCTGCCACTCGAATAAATGTAGATCTGCAGGGCCAAAGGGGGGGAAGGGCAAGGGAGGAAGAGGGAAGGTGGAGGAGAGGGAGAGGGAGTGCTGGATGCTTAAGTGCATGGGACATGTGAAGGATGCTAAAGGCCGGACCAGGAACATGAGAAGATGGGACACTGCGCCTCCCTGCTGCCACTCGAATAGATGTAAATCTGCAGAGGGGGAGGGGTGGGAAGGGAGAGGGTGAGGGGGGCGGAGAGAGGAGGATATGCCCAAAAGAATGTGAAAAGAATGTGAAAAGAATGTGAAAAGAATGTGAAAAGAATGTGAAAAGAATGTGAAAAGAATGTG